ATGTCAATTTAGATGAACCCTCCAGGTGACCAGGTAGCAATCTTGACAGTATCTACATGGCAGTTTCTTAGTGCTTGATTCCGTGGCGCCGTATCCGATTTCTAAGCCGAAATCCATGTACGTAAAATACTAATAAAATTGCCAGCGGCAACACCGACCGACCTCTTTGCTAAAGATATCATGTGTCTTCAATTATTGTTTTAAGTTTTTCTTAATTATCCTGATCTTTTATTATTATTGTTGTTGTTGTTGTGCTTGGGATAGGAATAAGCTGGGTATTTTTCGGTTAATTCAATTTTTATTTTTTTTGTTTATCTATTTCTTAAGAAAATTTCTTATCTATACCTATTAAGAAATTACTTTACAAACTCATATTTGTTAAAATATTTCATTTTAATCCTTATAATTTTCAAAAAAATTATTTTGATCTTTAAAATTAATTTTTTTGATTTAGTCCTTTATTTATAAGTTTTTTGGTTTCTTCAAGTTTTCATAAAAAATTTTAGTATCTATTTTATAAAATTTATGCAATTAAGTCCCTATATGTTTATTATTATTATTTGAAATACATTAAAGGGTATTAGTAGGATGTAAAATGGATACCTATTCTCTAAAGTCATATTAGCGAATATATATATTTTTATATTTACTTGTCTCAATACGTATTAGATATTTTTAATAGATATTTATTAAGCCAAATAGAGTAGATAATCGTTTTATACCTAACTTATTGTCCTCACTAATTGTGTATATTAATGGTGCTTGAAGAAACTTGAAGAAAAATGAGATTTTAAAACATTCTCATTAAGTGTTTGGTAATGCAATGTAGATATTTTCTATAAAAATATATTTGAATTGAAAATAAGTCAATTTGATTTTTTAAAAAATATTTTTATATATTTTTTTCAAGTTATGCAATTTTATTCATTAGGCCTTCCAAATCACAAAACTTTGAGAGCAAAAAATGCCATTGAACCAATTTAAAAGAGTTTAGTTGACTAAAGTCTTTTAAAATGTATTTTTCTTTTAGAAAAGATAAAGTGTTTGACGTTGTTCAATTTATAAGTTCATAGGGTCAAATATACGTCATGCTCCTATACTATATCAAAAATATCGTTGCAATCTCTTTATATAGATAAAATTCATAACAAACCTTATATTGTTAGACGTAAATGCAAAATAGGTCATTCATAAACTTTTTCCATCGGATTGATTAATTTTTGTTAATTGACTAAAGTCTAACCAATTAAATGGCAACACATTTCAACATAAGAGTAAAAATGTATTTTTCTTTTAAAAGAAATTTTTATTTTTATTTTTTTAAGTTAAAATAATTAATAATTATTATAAATCAACAAAAAATAATCATTTTTTTAATTTCTAATGAATTTTAATGATTGTTAAATATTTTTTTATTAATAATCATTATAAAATCAGTTTAAAAATCTAAAGAAAATTTTTTCAAAAAAAATAAAAATAAATAACAATCAAAATTTTTTTATTAAAATAATTATTATTAATAATAAAATCATTAAAATTTTCTTTAGATTTTTTTTAAAAAATTTCTTTATTAATAGTTATTTTAAATATCAAAAATTGAAAAAAAAATGTTTATTAATAATTATTATAAAATAATTAAAATTGAAAATATATTTTGTTACATATTTTTTAAAATTTTCTTTAATAATAATAATATAAAATCATTAAAAAGGTGAAACAAAATGATTATTTAAAAAAAATTGTTTAGAATTTTGTTTCCAATTTTTAATAATTTTATAATATTATTAGTTATTTTAACTTTAAAAAAATGATATTAAAAGAAAATTATATTTTTACCTTTAAGTTGATACATGTCACTTAAAAGAAAAATGAAAAAATATTTATTAATAATTATTATAAAATAATTAAAATTGAAAATAAATTCGTTACATCTTTTTAAAAATTTTCTTTAATAATAATAGTAATAATATAAAATCATTAAAAAGTGAAGAAAATGATTATTTTAAAAAAATTGTTTAGAATTTTGTTTCCAATTTTTAATAATTTTATAATATTATTAGTTGTTTTAACTTTAAAAAAATAAAAAAATAATTTAAAAAATTATATTTTTACCTTTAAGTTGATAAATGTCACTACTTGATTAGTGAAACGTTAATCAATTAATAGAAATTAATTAGTCTGATGGAAAAAAAAGTCAACAGAAGGTTTATTTTGTACTAACATCTAATAGTATAAAATTAATTATCAATTATATATGAATAGAGAGGTTACAATGATATTTTTGATATAATACAAAAATTCGGTGTGTATTTAACCTTAAGTTCATGTCGGGAGAGGATGCCAATGATCGGACATATGATGGTGAAACCTCACAAGAGATGAAGGGGAATGAATCACCTTGCTGAAAAAAGAGAAGAAGGTGGAATGTATCATCTATATATAATTAGTTGCTTAAAAGTTCTCGAGCTTAATATAAATTTTCTTCCATCTACCAGCTTCGGATTCTCGCTGTAAATATAATTTAACTTTCTTACGCCACACACACCTGAATCAATCTATTCTCATATGACAACATCACAACATGTTAGCATATGTATAAAAAGTAAAAAAAAAAAGAATTTTATTTCAAAATAATCTCTGATTTTTTTTTTATTTTTTTTGATAATTTTTATTGGTCTTTCTCTATACTCTTACTAGCTAGATAACAAGGGAAAAATATAGTTTTCTCCTACCCTTCGTAAATTCTAACTTCAGCCATGCATATGTGAAAGATCAAGATATATAATCTTTTTAATTTGGTGGAAATTATAGCGATCATCTGTAAATATATACGTTGTAACCATGCTGGAAAACCAAAAAAAAAAAAAAAAAGCAAAAAGATAGCAAAAAATATATAAAATACCGTAATCATTATATATACTTGGTGGTGGGTAGGTCTATTCCCAATTTCCCACCATTATGGAAGGCTTCAATAGTCAGACAATGGAGCCCTAGAGATTGTAGTTGACGTCGAAAGCATTATCAAAGCTTATGCCAATTAAATTTGATCAGATTGGGCAGTTTTGATGATTCATTTGCACAACTTAAGTTATTTTATTATTCATTATAGTGATAGGACAACAATCGAGCCCCTTGACATCTCAAAAACAGTTGTATGTGTGAACATATTTTTGGGAGAATAATTATACTAATAATTTAAAGGCAAGTAATTTAAAAGAATTGTTCAAGTGGTTTTTTGATTTTTTGGCTTCATATTTTGAGATTAATATTTAGATAAATTTATTATTTTTTATGGATATATGTAGTGACCAGATGTGGGAGGTACAATTTTAAGATTGTTGAAGAAAAATTTAATCTCAATTAACACATAAACTAATTTAAAATGCCGATTAAGTACTTTCTTTAACTTTTTTTAAATGATCACGTATGCGTTACCTTTAAAATATCAAATTATAATTTTATTTTTTTCTCAATAGAGTATATGAAATTTTTATTATTATTATTTAAGGACACAATTGTTTTCAAAACTATCATTTAAGTACTTTTGTCAAATTTTTTATTCACTAATGACATAGCCGAATACAAAATTATATTTGTTTCCTCTATTTTTGTTAAGAATTTTCTTTGTAAATTATTCTACTATTTTAAAATTTGATAAAGAACTAAAAATATTATTTTTAGCTATAAAATTTAGAATTAAACTCGGTTAGACTTGCCGTTAAAAAAAAAAAAAACTCATAGTGCAATTATCCTAAAAAATACATCAAGAAGATTTATTTGTATTTTCTTTCAATTTTCATTCCTAAGCTTAACTTTTTTTTCTTAACAATAACCTAACTAAATTTATTTTGACATTTTATAGCTAAAAATATTTTTTATTTTTTTTTAAATTTTGAAATGATAAAATAATTTGAGGAGAAAGTTCCCTATAACAAAAGGAGAGTAAATTTATAATTTCATATTCGAAAACGTATCAATTAACAAAAAAAATAATAATAATAAAAATATTTGATTGATAGTTTTGAAAAAATTAATATACTAAACAGGATAAAATTATAATTTAGTTTTTTGAGCATAATGAACATATCATCAATTAATAAAAAAATTAATAAATATACTAGATTGACAATTTAAAAAAAAATCAATATAATAAAAAGAAAAATTAAAATTCATATATTCGATTTAAAAAAAAATTGAAAGTTGATGTAATCATAGTGCAATCATCCCAAAAATAAAACGTTTTCCTTATTCATAATTCTTAAGTCTAATTAAATCTACTATGACGTGCGATTATTTTAAGCCTCAAGTCTTAAGTTTTAACACGTCTTCTGTGGTTTCTTAATAACAAAAAGGAAAAAAAAAATCAAAATTTCTCATGTAAGGATTCTAAGTTTGGCATGTCCTCTTGTTATCCATAAAAACACTCCTTATTCCAGTATTATCACTGTATAAGGAATTCTAATTAGAATTTCCTTTTTGCACAGGAATTCTAATTAGAATTCGTTTTTGCTATCAGTAAAAAAACCTCTCCTTATCTCTATAAATAGTTTAAGCGTAATACATAGTTTCGTTACCGAAGTTAAAAGAGCCGACAGAGTTTTCTTCAGAATATAGAGAGGCGTAGTTATTCTCTTCCAAAAACTGGTAAAATTATTTTACGAAATCATCTTGTTTTTTTCTTTTATCAGTTCAGTAAATATTTATTTTATTTTATTTTATATTACAGGCACTTTCGTGGAATTTTCTAAGAGAAGAGCTAGACGACGGACAGTTTGCTTTAAAATCCGGCACTGGTTTGGCCCTACAAAGACGAAAGTCAAACAAAAAAACGTCACTCGTTTTTTCTTCGTGTTGTTTTGTTTTCTTTATAAATAGAAGGAAAGAGTAGCGTTTGAGTTCGTTCAAAGCACGTTGGTGCAATATTTCATCTTCTACCTCCTGATTTTCTCGTGCTTCTCTCCAAATCCTTCTCTGCAAGTCCTTCTCTGCAGTTTGAAGACATGAGTGTAGAAACTACTAACAATGATCATGGCTATTCTCAGAAAGAGGTCAGCTTCTCTCTCTCTCTCTCTCTCTCTCTAAATACTGTTGTTGGTTTTTGCAAAGAAACGAGAAACGAAAAGTGATGGTAAATTTTCCAAAATGGTTGGAGATCTTTTCTTTAGTTGTCTTTTTAACTTGATTCTTTCATCATTAATCTCTCCAATTAGCACTTGTTTTGTTATATATTTGTATTTCTTTTTCTTATTTCCTGTCCTTTTTGCATCTGAGACAAAGTTCTAGCACATCTTTCTTCTTGGCACGATGAGAAGAAAAATGAAACGTTTCAACTTCTTGCTTTTGCTTTCACCCAATCACAAGAATCTAATTATTTTAATTATGAATGTTGTTTTCATATGTTCACGTGCTCTCCTGCAAACCAAGTAAATTTTTATATGTGTATATGATAATTATGTTTATCCATCAAATATATTTCCCTTTCCTTTTCCTCTTAACTTGATAAAATAAATAAATAAAAGAGAAGCATCCAAGAATTCTCAGTATGGGTCTCGTACACATTTTGAGTTTTTTCAACTCTACATAATTTTGTTATTTTCGTGTTAAGATAAAAAGGTTGACTAAAATGGTGAAAACGCAAACGTGTCCTGGTCAGACTGGACCTAACCTTGTCATTACGGAATCTAATTGTTTGAATTTATTAATGTTAGATTTAATTAGAGAGTCTTTAGAAAGACGTAATTGCCTGTGATATGTTGACTTTATGAATTTAGACTCTGCACGCACATGGAGACGAGTACTTCCTTCTTCTTGTTAATTTTTCACGAGCCAACCATTTTTATCCTTGGAAATTTTTATCCACTTGCTTTACCACTTTGCTTCTCTTTTTCTGTACTATAGTCTAATCTTGCATGTGAACTAGCTTTAGCTAAGGTCAAGAATTCAAATTTATCTCTCCCTCTCTCTCTATCCCTATTTTTCTTTTGGGACAGTAACAATTTTTATAAAGAATACTTAAAAAAAAGAAAGAAAGAAAAACTTGTAAAGAATATTTCTGTCATCATCAATGGGTTTGGAGAATATTGGAGTAAAAAATTAATTAAAAATTCAAGATTAGGTGCACCAAATAGTTAAAGCTTTCTAAGATACTAGTACCTTTTTTTCAATGAATTTTAGGTATATACAGCTCTTGGATATTCTACGAGTATGTGTATATATATATATTTCTTTTCTGGGATGGAGGCAGTTTTTACTCTTCATGCACATGGCTAATTGCATATTTTTTTACTCTTTGAACTCATTACAGCGAATAAATATGATTAGTTTTGACAAATAAATAGTGAAGAAAATAAATAATAGTAATAAAAAAGGCTATGAGCAGTACGTATGTGACAGACCGTGTGAAGATGAAGCAGGATTTAAGAGTAAATCACTGTTTATGGAGTCTTGGTTGGTGGCTATCGTTGTTCTGTATCTAGGAGTGGGACATTGGTCTACGTGTGGTTAACATTTTAAATAATTAGATAGTGATTCATGGGTGGTGATGTGTGAACCAGCCAATTGGCTGCCAGCTAGATTCCAAAAAGCATGAAGACAAAACTTTGGAAACTGGACTACTAGACAATGGACAAGTTGACAAATGATCGAAGTGTTTGGTTCCTCCAAAGGTTTGGGGATATCTAGATTCATATGTTAGTCCAAATTCTGGATTTATTCAACTTTGTTGCTTGGTCTGATATCATGTTCTTGATTTATAGTCTAATTCTGTTGTTGATTCGATAGCAAGAAACCATAATTCTGTTTCTGTTGCGTTTTTTCTGTGTGTTTTGCTGTTAAGATTGATTAACAAAACGTGTAATCATCAATGACAGGTTGATGAAAAACTAGCAGCAAGGCAGAAGAAAATTGATGAGTGGCTTCCAATTACTTCTTCAAGAAATGCAAAATGGTGGTACTCAGCTTTCCACAATGTCACTGCCATGGTTGGAGCTGGTGTCCTCAGTCTCCCTTATGCCTTGTCAGAGCTTGGATGGTATGTTCAGCAATCAGCAGCACTTGTTTTTAAAGGAAGGGAAGAAGTTTTCCCAACTGTAGGGATGGCAATTTGCCCCGTTGCGCTCCGACCCGGTCAACAAGGGGATTCCTCGCATTGATCGGGGAACGAGGCGGGGCAGGGTGCCCAGTAATTATTTTGAAAGGGGATGAGGCGGAGATGGTATTTGCCCACCCCGTCTCCGTTGTTTTATCCCTAAAATTATAATTATATTCTATATAAAATTTGTTACTATTGACTCTTAAAGTTTATTTTCTATATAAACTATCATTTATTTGCTATAGTACAAGACAAGAATGAAAAAAAAATTAAATGGGGCACCAATGTCCTACGGGGATCCTCGTCCTCATTTGGAGCGGGGATGGTATGACAAATTTTGCCATGCACGGGGTGGGGATGGGGCAAAATTTTTATGGGGATGGCCCATTGCATTCCTACCCAACTGTGGTGTCTCTTTATCAAATTGACGTTCTATTTGTTATTTTCAGGGGTCCTGGTGTGGCTGTGCTAATCCTATCATGGATCATCACACTATACACCCTATGGCAAATGGTTGAGATGCATGAAATGGTGCCAGGAAAGCGGTTTGATAGATATCATGAACTTGGTCAACATGCTTTTGGCGAAAAGCTTGGCCTCTACATTGTCGTACCGCAGCAACTTATTGTTGAAGTTGGTGTGTGCATTGTGTACATGGTTACTGGAGGCCAATCATTGAAGAAGTTCCATGATATTGTGTGCAAGTCATGCAAACCGATCAAACAGACCTACTTCATCATGATTTTTTCCTCTGTTCACTTTGTGCTCTCCCATCTCCCCAACTTCAACTCCATCTCTGGTGTCTCTCTTGCAGCCGCAGTCATGTCCTTGAGGTAATCTACTCTTTTAGACCTTCACATAAGATTTCCACCGTCTGTTTTTATTTCTTATATATATATATATATAAGAAATTGGTATGCTTGTCTAACATTCTAGGTCTTGTGAACTAGTTTTAAACAACGGTCGTTACATTATATAAAGGCAAATAACGACTGTTACGTTATATATCGGTCATTATGTAATGGTTTCAGAGCATGTTGTTACCGTTATTTTAGTATTGTAGTAAGCCGCGATCCGTAATGATGACCGCAATTGTTTTTTCAACCGTCTGCGGTTTAAAACTATACTTATGAAACTACATTGGCATCCGCAAATCTATGAACTTCACTTGCACTAAAATTGATTTGCATTTTCCTCGCAGTTATTCTACGATAGCTTGGTCTGCTGCTGTTGACAAGGGTGTTCAGCCAGATGTGCAATATGGATATAAAGCTCATAGCACGGCAGGAACAGTATTCGGTTTCTTCAGTGCCTTAGGTGATGTGGCTTTTGCTTATGCTGGGCACAACGTGGTGTTGGAGATTCAAGCAACAATCCCATCTACACCTGAGAAGCCATCCAAAGGACCTATGTGGAAAGGAGTCGTAGTTGCCTATATAGTGGTGGCTCTGTGCTATTTTCCTGTTGCTCTGATTGGGTACTGGATGTATGGAAATGCAATCTCCGATAACATCCTCATCTCATTGGAGAAGCCTGTATGGCTTATTGCAATGGCTAACATATTTGTTGTGATCCATGTTATTGGAAGCTACCAGGTGCAGATCAAAGTTTATCTTAGCTTTTCCTTCTTATTTCAGATTGATCTTTATTGCAGGTTTTTCAAACATTATTTTCTTTCCTCGATGCAGATTTATGCTATGCCAGTGTTCGACATGATGGAAACTGTATTGGTTAAAAAATTGAATTTCCAGCCCACTACGACTCTTCGTTTCTTTGTACGCAATCTTTATGTTGGTAAGAGAACTCCTCAGTCGATCAAGTTATGCTTTTGAATTCAAGCTTTACATCAAGACAGGTTTTGAACTTAGATTTACTTGAATCTTTTCTTCTTTTTTTTGCAGCGTTCACAATGTTTGTTGGCATTACCTTCCCTTTCTTTGGCGGTCTTCTTGGATTTTTTGGAGGATTTGCTTTTGCCCCAACTACATACTTTGTAAGTGGCTCTATCTTAATTCTACTTAGCATAATTGACAAAACTATTATGTGATTAGTCTATAAAAAGAGGTTGCATCAGTGCCTAATTAACCTCTCGCTGTTTCATTCTTCAGCTCCCTTGCATAATGTGGCTTGCCATCCACAAACCGAGAAAGTTTGGCTTATCTTGGTGGACAAACTGGGTAAGTTGATCAAGTGTCATTGACGTTTTGCTCCTATATTTGCTTTCTTTCTAAATTCACTTAAATTTATTTGATTTATACAATTGCAGATCTGCATTGTCTTTGGTGTCATCTTGATGGTTGTATCACCCATTGGAGGGTTAAGGCAAATCATAGTCCAAGCCAAGACCTACCATTTCTACTCATAAACAACCTTCCAAACCTGTGTGAAGGGGATTGCTATAAAACAAAAATCCTCAAGTGAAGAAACCAAAATCGTGACAGCAGCGAAGGCAACCGACAAAACTAGACCTTTAAATAGGGCTTATCCAGTATTATTGGGACCCCGATAGGCTGTTTTGGAGTATCGACATGCTTCTTGCTTGTGTAAGCCTGAATAGTGGCCGTAGATTCATAGCCAGGGGTTTCCTACAGGCCTATACATTGCTCCCCCTTTTTTTTTCACTGCTTGTGTATGGATATATCACACTTTCCTTTTCGTGTCTTGTTTTGGCCAGTGGATTTGGTTGGCCAATTCCGTTCTTCAATTACTGAAATGAATACAGATATAAAGTGTTTCCTCATTAATTTACATTTAAGGTGAACATGTTTGTGCATAGATTACAATCCTTCTATCTTAAGCTGAAAAGTCTACCGCACTTTGCCATTTCCAATTACCGTAACCAAAAGTCTTGTATCTGGTTGCCTGGCATTGCTCACAGAGATGTAACGGAGCTGAAAAATCAGAAATGCAAACTCACTTTGAATAATCATAGCAAAAAAGGTTTATCTGTAGTAGAGTCAAAGCAAATGACTTGAATATGGATAATCGTAGCAAAAATGATCACTCTATAGCGGAATCAAATTGCATGCTTTACGAAACAGACTTTGCTAAAATGTTGACATGGATATGATAATTATGAGTAAGATGATCAGGTTCAGTTGCCTTCATATAATACAGAAATTTGACATGCTAGAAGTTAATTAGAACCACAACCAGAACAAATAGCTAGCGAGAAGATATGATAATAGCACGAAATCCTGCATGATTTTTAATGGCTGATCTTAACGGGACAGCAAAAGGCAATGCGTATACTAACTCAAGGAACTGCAGAAATACAGATTTGATGTGATAATTGGCTTCCAAATAGGATAAGGATCATTTGTCAGGACTACGGAAAAGAATGTTAAGGTAACCTATCTCGTTAGGCTTGAGGTGGGAGGCGATACAAGATATTGTCGGACAGTGCACTTGCCAATTCCTGAGACTGAATATGGAAAAAAAAAAATGAAGATTTTGCATAAATTAGAGCTCATCGCAAGGGATCATCTCCCAATGATAAGCTGGAGAGCTCTTATTTGTGCTGATGTTAGTATTCCTAAGCAGTGGCTGGTTTCTTTTGTAAGCTTCAAGGGCAAAATCACCAAATTTTTATAGTTCCTGGCTCAAATGCGGCATGTATGAATAAATAACAACTGCACAACGTAAGTTAGATGGCTGGAAGATTCTTTGTTGAAATATTACTGTGGAAATTAGCTAGCAGTTGAGGGGAGAAGCTGCCTCTATAAGCATGTCTCCGGGGAAATTACTAATGACAGCTAGTCCTGTTTTGCTTATTAAACTATTATGGTGGTCAGTCTTCGACCACAATGCCCGGTATCTGGTGAATTATCAGAACATGTTAAGGAATTGCCAGGTAAAGAAACTGCAGGCTGTTTTTATAATAGGTATAGATGTCAGCAGCCCAAAAATAGTAAGAAACTGGATCAGTGCGATCTTGTAAATTAGATGTCGATCAAGATTTGATACAAAATGAGGTTTTAGGAAACATACAGCTGGTACATCCATAGTTTTAAATCGTGGAAGGTTCAAAAAATGGTCGCCATCGTCAGCACGGATTGCGGCTTGCTGCAATACTAAAATAACGGTAATATATAACAGGATGCTCCAAAACCATTCTATAAGGGCCGTTATCTAACATAACAGTCGTTATTTAAAATTATGATTACATCAGCGGATTCGTAGTATTTCTAATACTACTAATTTTACTTTAAATGTTTTGAATGCTTCAAGGATAGCTGTATATTTTTCCTAAAGAGCCACCATTGCAACGTTTGGCACTACGGCAAATCAGGATCTCTTGGACGCTTGGAGCACTGCTAATCTAGAATCTCGATGCTGAGTTGTTTCTCTTTAATAAATTTTGTTTGCTAAAAATGGAAAAAACGGAATGAGTAGAATGTGGGAATTCCTTGATAGGATCATCACCTAACATATTGCAATGACAATAATGGTGATCCTGTATTTGCATTGAAAGCATTTTACGGTCCCCAGCTGTTGCCAGGAATTGATGAAGCTTTGAGTCAAATCGTAAATGGATAATGACGAATTTTATTGATGGTTAATGTTATGCCAACCTCTTACGCGGAATATGCATCCAAATTGCAGCATTAAAAGCTGTTCTTATCTTTTTTTAGCATTAGGCTGCCAGAAAGGAAAAAGGAAAAACATGATAAAATTAGCTATACAGGAAAGATTCAAATGGCCATTTAGGTCATCTAAGGTAAGCATGATATTTATTTCTTAATTAAGATGCCGCTTGAGAATTCTGCCCTTGCGTACTATTTTTCCATTTAAAACGGATTCTAATTCTCCCTTTGATGTATCTTGTTTGTCATCAAGCAGGAGGACGGATATGCCTTTAAAGTCATCGTCAGTTTCGATATTTCCTTAGTTCGCAGTTCTTATTTATATATTGCTATTTCCAAAGATTCATTGTCCTCTTAATTTGTCCCAGAATTCTCAGCCTGCACAGAAATGGGTACTCAAGTTCTGGATGATCAAAAACCTCATGTCTCCGAAGAATTATCAGCAGTATGCCCCTCTTCTGTCCTAGACAACAGCACATATGCATCTGGAATGATAATTAGACTCTACTATATGAATTTAGGCTTTGCTTGTCCATTAGTATCCTGCTTCTTGTTGTGACAGAAATATTTCTGCTAAATTATGCTAGGATGCAAGACTGCACAGTTGTTAGAAGCAACGATAGGAGGATACTTTATACACAAACGCACACACGCGCACAATATGCCTCAGGATACTGCAAATAATGTTGACTAGTAGAACTAATATCCTGAGTCTGTGATCAATCAACAAATCATATTGTCATGAACCCTTTTTTCCTTTTTCCTTTTTTTCAGGAATATCCAGCATCTGCTTTGATTATTCAATTTTTAACTGTGCGGTTTTGTTATTGAAAGTAACAAGAGATGTGATATTGTGAATGACAGGAAGATAGAAGGAAGAAGGAAATTGACGATTGGCTTCCAATCACTTCCTCAAGAAACGCAAAATGGTGGTATTCTGCTTTCCACAATGTTACTGCCATGGTTGGAGCTGGTGTCCTCAGTCTTCCTTATGCAATGGCAAATCTGGGATGGTATGTGTCATCTTGAAACTGAAATTTCCGGATTTATATTTATTCTTAGATCTTTAATTTTTTTTGTAGAAAACGGAATTAGTCTTAATCTGAGACAGCATTTATCTTTGATTTCAGGGGCCCTGGCACCGTAATTCTGGTGCTATCATGGACCATCACTTTATACACGCTATGGCAAATGGTTGAGATGCATGAGATGGTTCCTGGGAAACGATTCGACCGATACCATGAGCTTGGCCAGCATGCCTTTGGTGAAAAACTTGGCCTTTATATAGTAGTGCCCCAACAGCTTGTTTGTGAAGTAGGTGTGGACATAGTCTACATGGTTACTGGGGGAAAATCACTTCAGAAGATCCATAACTTAGTGCGCGAAGACTCTGCACCGATCAAATTAACCTACTTTATCATGATTTTCGCCTCGGTTCATTTTGTACTTTCTCATCTTCCCAACTTCAACTCCATCTCTGGCGTTTCATTGGCTGCCGCAGTCATGTCTTTGAGGTATGTTGTCTGCATGCCAAATCACCACTCTATTTTGATTTTTGCAATACAGAATTATCAATCCTCTATTGGAAAATTGAAGAGGATGGGTTGAAGATGAGAGGGATGAATTGCTAAAATGATTTCTAGTAATTAATCGATGAGGCAACCAACTAACATAGTCCATTATGAATTATAAAAAATAACAATCAGCTTTGCCTCAGAGATGGCAGCCTCCTCTAATATAGAAGAAAAACATACCTACAGTAGGAATTCATGTAGTTCTTCTTTTGTACTTTCTAATTGAAGATGACCAGACATAATCGTGATTGGTGAAATGAATTTCTTGCAGTTACTCTACCATTGCATGGTCAGCTTCTGTCCACAAGGGTGTTCAGCCAGAGGTCGAATATGGCTACAAAGCCACGACAACTTCAGGAACGGTCTTTAATTTCTTCTCTGCCTTGGGTGATGTAGCTTTCGCCTATGCTGGACACAATGTTGTGTTAGAGATTCAAGCAACAATTCCTTCTAAACCAGACAAGCCATCGAAAGGGCCAATGTGGAAAGGAGTGATCGTTGCCTACATAGTTGTAGCATTGTGCTACTTCCCTGTTGCTCTAGTAGGGTATTACATGTTCGGCAATAAAGTTGAAGATAACATACTCATCTCATTAGAAAAACCAACATGGCTTATAGTGGCAGCTAATATGTTCGTCGTCATCCACGTTATCGGAAGCTATCAGGTTTGATTTGATGCCAGTTGATCATATCTGATTAGCAGTTCAATCACCATAACAGCAAAACTAACATAAGGTGTCCTGTTTTTTATTTATTTTGCACTATAGATATTTGCAATGCCAGTGTTTGACATGCTAGAAACATTGTTGGTAAAGAAGTTGCGTTTCAGGCCTTCCGGAACGCTTCGATTTGTCACTCGCAATGTATATGTTGGTAAGTAAATTTCACCAGTGTTGTCACTTTGAAAGTGTTTTCTTTAATTTGTATAAACTGAGACTTCAATTTTGGTTTCAGCATTGACAATGTTCGTTGCCATCTGCTTCCCCTTCTTCGGTGGTCTTCTTGGATTCTTCGGAGGATTTGCTTTTGCCCCAACAACTTACTTTGTAAGCCCCCCTGTTTCTTGTACTGTGCAATAAAAATTGAAACTTGGTTTATTGGCCTTTTGGAGGATGCTTCTACTGCAATTCCTGAATCTTTCCTTTCATTTTCAGCTCCCTTGTACCATGTGGCTGGCCATCTACAAACCAAAGAAGTTCAGCTTATCATGGTTCACCAACTGGGTATGCTCAATGCTTGATTTCTAATCGTGAATTCATATGCTTTTCATCTCAATCTCATCCTGCTTTCTTCATTTCAGATCTGCATTATACTTGGCCTCTGCTTGATGATTTTATCACCTATTGGAGGCTTGCGGAATATCATACTTAGTGCCAAGGGCTACCAGTTTTTCTCTTGATCAATTCTTGCACAACTCGGTGTAAATTCTGAGAAATTAGATTGCGCCCTGTAGTTATATTAAAAATAAGAACTCGTTGAGGCTGAGTCAGCCACAGTTTGCGCAGAAATCATTGTTAGATCAGTAGGTATTGTCTTTTCCATTGTCCAACAAGGTTGTTTTCAAGCGTTGTCGCTGTGTTTTATTTGTGCAGAAATCACTGAATTACATTTTTCTTCGTTGTATTCTGCGTGTGCCGAACGTAATGTTATTATTTGCCGTATTTGTTTATGACCAAACAACTATAAGGATTTGAGTGCTAATAGTGCCTCGGAGTCTTTGTTTCATATGAAACGCCAAAAAAGAATTCTGCAGTCACTTTAATATCATTCATCAACATTGCCATAGGTCTAGGAGGTCATAATTCCTGTCCCTCAACACTATTTAGTCTCAACATCAGGAATATAGTCATCTTATTTAGATTTCCACTTACAATTTCTCTGAACCATGCTCCAAAATTGTTGAATGGTGCAGGAAATTTTCTCACCAGAAACTGGGACAGGTAGTCTCCGACAAGAAAGCTAATATTAAAGGGTTAGACTATTCATGGTGTATGTAATTCTAGGAATGATGTTTCCTTCTGAGGCAAAAACCCAAGTGCATGTATCTGCATCTGCTTCCCCTTTAACACAAGCGACCTAATCTTTCCCATGTCTCACTAAGAGCAGAAATAATCCCATCAGCAAGTTAAGTACCATTATTTTCCTTGCTAGATCAGAAGTTCCTACCCCAAATTCTCGGACTAACATAATTATAAAACAGAATTCTGCGATTCCCTGAAATTTTTCCTGCCAAAACTGTTCTTAGTTGCTCATTAGTTCAGCTGTCATCAGATTCTATACCAATTTAGTCATATATAAAAGTGGCCATCCAGCTTCTACCAACCTAGCACCTGCCCACCCATTATGGACATTTTAACATCAACCTAAATGCCGTGTAAGGACTGACAAAACGCTGCAACTGTCAATCTGCCCCATGATCAACCCTATTTTGAGGAATACATCCCAATCAAACAACCACCATCTTAAAGTCTGGGCCAGCCAGTTCTACCTATTTCATTAATTTACACTGCTTTCTTGCTGGTCACAAAGTACACTTATCTATTAGAAAGACTAGAGTTGTTTTTTCCAGATTAGCCACGAATTGTCCCTGAACAGCTCTCAAAATTGCTTCCCATAAAGCGAGAAATCAATTCCACAACCTAACACTTTTGTGTTTTCAATTAAAAGATTCTCTCCACATCAGTTTTCATTCTCCATCCTCTCATATATTTATTATAGTTAAATCTCTCATATTACGTAAAATTTATGATCCATGGAGTAAATAAATGTATAGAGAAAGAACATATTTCAACTAAGTCCATCGAAGCTGCATTCACGAGAAATGCCTAGAGATAATAACACTATTAAACAAATCCACTTAATTATTATAATTAAATGGAGTTTGTGCTAATTGCTGCAAAGACAGAGAGATGCAAATTGCTAAATAAATCATATTTTGCTTGCATGGAACATGGAATACGAAGGGAAATTTCTTAAACCAAAACAAGAAATGAAAACATGATTTGAGTTTATTGATTCTATGTCAATTTCTTTTGCAATTTAAGACTCTTTTCTCTATACAATTGAACCCACAAATTAGTGACCCACAAAATACTAACACTAATGGCCATTACAACAACAAACATCCAAGAAACCCAAACCCATTTGGGAATAAGACCACCATCAACACCACTCACAAAAAATACTCCCATTTGATACACAAAATAAGGCCCCAAAATCCCCCTAACCACAGAATACAAAGCATAAAATGGCGGAGACAACAAATCATACACTTTGGCAGCAAATTCCACATCAATTCTCCTCGCATTCGCTAGTGTCCACGCGTTCTGACACGCGCTAGTCACCTCCGCAAGAATCAACAGCATCAGCACGGCGTACGCGCCGCGAGCGACGACGTATCGACAGGTGACGAAGACAAAGAGAGTTGCCAAGTGATGCCCGATGAAAAGGACGTCACTAGGTGAGAAAATAAGGTAGTGAATTAGATCCATTAAGAAGTAGGAAATGCTGTAGTCAAGGACCGAGGCTTGTGTTTTTGTGTTTAAGGAAGAGAAACCTCGGTTTGGGTCGGTGAATAGAGCGTGTGTGGCTAAAAACACAGCCGGTGTACCGTGAAATATAGAGATTAAGCAACTGGCTGCTTCCGGTCGGATCTTGGGGCGCCAGTTACGGAAAACAAGAAAATGGGCTGCGAGGTAAATGGCAAGGAAGAAGGAGAAAAAGAGAGGGAGGTTTGGGATTGATTTGATTAGGGTTTCCATTAATTTTTGAAAACCCTTTCTTTTTCCTTTTTTATTCTTTTTGGGTTTGCCGTTCGGATTTTTTAAACACTGTTAAGATGATTTTAGAGATCGTTATCGTCCAGGGAAAATTGAAAAGCATGCGAGATTTTATAGAGAGGAAGGTGATGAGGTGGTTGTGTTAGGGGGCCTATAGGGATGGAGACTTTTTTTTTTTTTTGCTTTTTCGTGTTTCTCGAGGAATTGAGAGCTTCAATGGTATTAGTGAAAAAGGCATTACGATGTCGTTTTTAAGTGCATGCAAATATACAAATATAAAGGGAAAATAAACGCAATTTCCGTTTTTACTTGCAGTTCTTTTGTTTGCTAATCTAAGATCTCATGAATCGAAATCGATTAAAATTTCAAACATCTCTGGTCCTTTTTTGAGCACAAATCTTTTCTTTTTTCACTTTTGAGAGGTAGCGAATGAGTGGAAATTTTTTTCATTTTTTCTGTTTTCAGAAAATAAAACATGAACGACGAGAGATTACATGAATAGATTGAGTTCCCTCTTTAAAGAGCACGAACATAGACGAGACAAGAAACGGCCCAAGGAGCTCAAGAGACTTCCAGGCCAAACAATAAGACTAGTAAGAGTCAGACAATAGCAACAAACGAGCATAACTGCGCTATAAATCTCCCCCAAGAAACGCAAGAGAGTCACTGGACGCGAGGGAGGAAGAACAAGCCATACAAATATGATACCAGCCGTCATCATTCAGCACAAGACATACGATGAAAACAGTACAATGAAAAGCCACAGCGACCCACCAAAAGGCTTCAAGAAACCAGATTCCAAAATGCTCAATAGAAAGGCTTCGAACAGGCCAAGACTCCATCAGAGGAACTAGATATCCATACTCCAAATGGTCAGAAGACATCCTGGCCATTGCAGCAGAGGAATGCACGCTTAGAAGCGCCACCATATAACCGAAATCCCCCAGTATTATATCTCTGTCTACAACTATATTTGCTCGGTCAACACATATCCTCTAGATCGATCATCCACTACAACCAGACTCAATTACACTGATCAAAAATCCAAACAAGGAGATAAAACTTTTGCCTTTGAGCACCTAAATCAATAGCACAAAAGACCCCGAAGGGCCACAGAACTGATAATAAGTTCAATTACACCACCATTAGCATCAAAACACAAACTACCAAAAATCGATCCCATTAGCCTTCCAACAACAGCACACAACAGAATCCCAACAACAATACTATATAGAGATAACATCTTCCCAATCAATAGCAACGTCACCCAAGGCAAATATCTCCCAATCTGTAGTCATGAGTTATCATATTGGTTCACATGGTTGCACATGAGCTTAGCTTTGCTGGATAAATCCAAGTCTGAACAGGACTCTCTACTGCTTGGCAACAATGGTCTTTATTCTCTTAAGCAGAAGCGATGCACCAGATCATACCTTCCCATGGCCTAAAAAGAGCTCATGCATCAGGGTAAAATTCTGAATTTGCCACGTAGTGCATGAATACCATATTTATACATCCAGGGTGTGCATAGTCCAAGAGTTCATCTTGTAAAGGAAAGGGACCCCAATCGCCTGGACAGCCATTCAGAATTGCTTATGCTGTAACATTTCCCCAACCAGAGGTTAAAAGTGTTGCTCCTTGATTCATCATGATAAACAAAGTTTCACACTTCAGTCAATTTCTCCCTCTTCTACTTCATTCACAGGATTTGATACATCTAATGGTTCACCCTCTTCCTCCTCTTCATCATCTTTCATAAACAAACCAAGTTGTTCTAAGGGGTTACAGGCCCCAAACTTGAACCCACCCAAGCCGTCTTGTGAGGGATCTGGGCTCGTCTCATCTACAGAGCTTGGTATATGCTCAGCAGGGACGGTCCTGAGCATTTCCAAGTCTTCAAGAAACTGAGAGTTCTCATTAATTTCTACAGTCTTTTCCATCTGCACGATGAACATATTCCAATAAAATAGAGAACAAAGATCGATGAAGAAACTACAGTTCTGCATCAAGGACTTCATGCTTTTACCTTCAGCAACGCCTGACGAGCTGCTTCTCTTTCAAGCTCCCTCTTCCGTCTGGCCTCAGCTAAAGCTGCTGCCTCAGCTTGCCTTTGAGCATCTTCAGCAGCTTTCGCTTCTGCAAGCAACCTTGCTTTCTCTGGCCAAACAAGAATGCATTGTTAGCTTGGAGATGCTGATACAACAAAATACACATTGGCATAACGTCCAATACGCATTCCCCCTAACATTCAACCAAGAGATTTCACACAGAACCACAAACATGATGTGAAAAGTTTAAAGGTAAGTCAGAACAAAACCTTTCTTTTTAAGCAGTTCAAGTTCCTCCCTCTCCCGCCGCAGTTTCTTAGGATCCCCCTTGTCACCCTATTTTTGGCAAGACAAAATCAAATCAAATCAAATCATATCCAAAAAAAAATATATATATTCTGTCATGCACATGGACAAATAAGTCAACTTTTAAAGAAGGAAGAAATTGTGCCAGACCTGTGAAAGTGTCTTCTCTTTAGCCTTTAATATGATATCAGCAAAACGGTTCTTGATCATAGCATGTCTAATACGCTTCTCAAGAGAGACCTGGCTATCACTTGGAGCACTTTCACCTACGAATTACAATGTTTGTGCATTAATTAGTAATATGCTACCACCAAAATCAAAAGCAAGAAAAAATTCTTCCATACTCTCAAGCTTACCATCTGGATGGCAATCTGACTCAACAGAACTCAGTTTTTCCTGGGAAGTCTGTTCAAGCTGATCCAAACCACTGACAGATTCTGTACCAAACTCCAATTAGAAAACTTCATGGATAAAACAGGCAAGAAAAAATTGCAGCACTTGACCAGGAAAAAACCATGTCGAAATCTGAGGTTATGGATTATGTCGACCAGCAAAAAACCATGTCAAAATTTGAGGGCATGGGTTATGTCCTCAACAAGTTTGGCATGATACGGTAGAAATTAATGCTTAACCTTGTTCTTTTTCTCTTGGTGAAAAATCGAGAAAACCAAATGCAGAGTTCAGTACCATTGCAACTATTTAACATTCTAAAACGCAATTCATGTTGTACCACATGCTCAAACAGAATTTCTGTCTGCCTCCAACTTCAGAACAATCCAAATAGAAACTACCTAACAACGGTAACGGTATAATTGAATGTGCATTCTCCTGAAAAATCTAGCATCAGAACAAGAATGATTGCTAAGCTAAGCACATATAATCTGTTATATTTCACCTACAGACCATCAAACATTGGACTCTTGTCCGATAATAATGATGTGGCAGCCAAAAGCAAGGATATGCATGAATAATTCTAGGGCTCAACAAGAAAAACATGCTCTATTTCTACCCTCATTTGGACCATACAAGAAAGAAGGATTTAGTAACAAATACTCACGATTCCTCTCGAGCTGAGCAGCAGCATTTGTTTTGTCATCTAATTGAGTTCCATGACCCAATGTTTCAGAAACCTAGTCAAGTTAAAAACAAAATCATATACCATTTTGCAAACAGCAAATAAAACAAGACAGACTGCTTTATATCCAATTATTGAGCTTTTTACAAAGGTAGAATTATGATTATTCAAGATTACTCAAACCAGCAATGCACCTTTATTACATTTGCTGGACTTGATGCTTTTGCAATATCTGATTCACTTTCAGAAGAACTGCCAGAGTCTGAATCTGTAAAAAATTGGAATAGAGAACAAATTATGAAGCTCTTTCATAAGACTAAGTAGTAAAAAACGAGCTGTATTCTTCTGTAAAGCAGTATATGGTCCCCTTCATTTATTTTTTAAAAAAAAACTTCGGAAGTCGAAATATTTTATGAACAAATAGATTTTTGTGTGCATGAAAACATTTATTATCTTGCAATACTGTTGCATCCAAGTTTCTTATATTACATCACCACCAATCAATGCTTTAAGCAAAGTTGTTTCTTAACAAAAAATTTCCATCACCACTGCAGGCCATCAAAATCACGTTATTTTAATCAATACCGTAGTTGAATTCCTGTCCTTAAATTACTCATACTATGTATATGATGATGGATGGTGCCCAAGGAGACCCAAGGGGACAATCCAAGTAAAATAGGACCTTGAAAGATGATTCTAAGCAACAAACCTAAGAAGCAATTCAAGTGCAGGATCCAGAAACTGCTAACTGGAAAAAAAGATAAGGAACTGAAGCATATCCATGATGTAAGGAAGTTGCTAGAGATGGATATCATTTTAATCCTGGCAATCTCAATTTTTGCAACTTTCCAAGTTTAGTTGTGCGGCTTCACTGTTTCACTGTTTCCATCCCTCTTCACTTAAAAGTTAATACTTCAGGAGGTTGCTTCCCAGTATTAAAAAAAAAAAAACATTAGTAAGAACATAAATCTATTAGAAGTGATGAATATTAAGTAAGCCAGAAAGTTGGAAAGAAAAATTTAATTTAAACTCATACTCATGAGCATGTTCTATTCCAAGCACAGCAATTGTGCATATTGTTTCAACTTTGTGCGGGTTCACACAAAATTTGAATTTAAACTAAAACAAAACATAGAAGGGCAACTCATTTTATTTTTATTTTTTTACCTTTGGAGCTGTCTGAGTTGATTTTGCTGCTCTTATGGCCTGTATCTTTTTCCTTTTCAATCTCCACAGGTGGATAGCTCGAGACAGGAGGCTCATTGCCACCAATGTCAATATCGTAATCAGCCAGGTCATTCCCTAGACACAAAACCCACAAGAACAAAGTGAATAAAGGTTCCGAATGTGCAAGCCCGACAGCCAGATTATCAACATGTGACAAAGTGTAGTAGATAAAAAACCTTTTTGCTGTTGCATGGATGAATTGCTTGGCCCAGATTCATTCATCAGCTGTGACAAAAAATAAACAATTGCTGTAATACACATTTAAGAAAGGAAGAGGAGATTTCTGGTTAACCAGAAAGCCAAGAGTAAGATACCTCTATTTCACAAGGTTCCCCTCTGGTTTGGTTCGTTCGTTTCTCTAGCAAATAGTCATCTAAAAGCTTCCGCAATGCAAACAAGGTATCATCACTGAGTTCATCAATATCTATTTCGATTTCCTCCTCTCCACCGTCCATTCCGCTCGAACAATGTTCCCTCAAAAAATTGATAATATTTACAGGCATTTCTCCCAACAAAGACTCCAATTCTCTACCTAAATTGTGCCTCTCTTCATCTGTCATTCCCCTCTTTACAGGCTCTGGCATAATGTCACGTTGGAAAGAAGTTACTTTTCGCTTTTTTGCAGGAAACATTTCAGCAGTTTCAAAGTCTTCATGAGGACCTGAATTTTCCTGTAAAACTTCATCACCAGCACTTGGTAATTTTTTCTCAATAGTTTTCCATCTAATTTCAAAAAATTTACTAAGAGTATCAGCCATAACGTAGGCATCAGACCCCTGTGGATTGTACACCATAGCATTTTGGAAAGTGAGCCTCACATCAGCCATAAATTCCAATGGGCTTGAGTATGCACCAGAAGCTATCTTACTCTTTATAGTTCCCAAGTCCATTGGATTCTTAATAATAGTATAATAATCTGGGATGTTCAACTTCACAATATCAACCGGGTGGTTGAAGATCCAACCGTGCGGATGAGACATCAACCTTTTCAACAGCGTCTCACACTGTTTCATCAATATCATATTTGTAGTGATTGGTGTCGAACTCTGTTTTGAAACTTGCTTTGCAGACTTAAACCTTCCTGAACTACCCCTATTCCATACACGTGCCTGGCCTGTTGGATTCACTTTCTTCCCTGGCCCAGAAGTCATAACCGAGGACTTCCTAAAAGTTTCTACATGAGGCCTATTTGTACCATTGCTACAACTAAGAATGTCACTGGAAGACGACAGTGTAACGCCATTTGTTCTCTGCAAATCAACTCTCTTTTGGAGATTCCTTACTTGCTCAAGTTCCCATCTCAACCTTCGTTCTAATTCCTTCCTTTCAGACGATGAAAGGTGCAATGGAGAAAATATCTGCACCGGGACACCAAAAATGTCCTGTTTATTGGAATTTAGCTTATTATGTTTCCTTCCAGGAGCACTAGAACCCTCAGAAATAGTAATCTCGGTGTCAATCCTTCCTGAACTAGCAGAGCCCTCAATTTCCCCAGCTGTGTGAAATCTATTTCTCCGATAACCTCCACTGAATTTACCGTTCTTTGCCATCATCTAAGCCAATAACTAAATGGCAGTACTTCTTCAGTTCCTTCTATCTGCTGTAGAGTCACGGGTTGGTTTAATTACCCAACTCTGCATAGATAAATCATGGGAACAAAATTATCCCCCAACACTTTCAAATATTAGCACTATCCACTTGTATTGCTCGACAATTAGACAATTTAACTCCGAAATCATTTTCTTAACTACATTACTTTATTGGGTTGAAATATTCATGTCTTGAAAAGCAATGAATGAAGAAAAAGATTTTTGTTTCCCTTTCAATTCCCCCGTTTTTCCCAGAAACAAAAACATGGGCAAAGTAAACCCTAAGTAACATTTAAACTTACTTAAATTAAACCCCAAAATTAGAAATCAATAAAGAGTTCACTAAAAATCAAATTTATCTGTTCAAACTTCCAAAAAAAAATAGTAATTAAAGAAAAACAATCATTAAAAATTAAAGAAACAAAACCCTAATAAAACTAAAAAAAAAAACATTTACCAGTTGCTATCCTTCGCTGCCCAATGAATGCGAAACGTTTCACCGACACAAAGTCCAATCGAAGCCACCGACACGCTAATTATCAAAAGATTTACAGAATCTAATCATAAAAAAACCCTAAATCAACGAAACCCTAGCTAGCTAGCTAACCAAATCGAAGCAACTGTAAGAGTGGCTTTAACTGACTGTAATTGAAATCAGCTGCTCAAACTAGACCAAGAGTCGAAGAGAGACGCGCTGGAAAGAAAAAACCTAGAGAGAGTCTCTTTTTTTAATTTTGTTTTGTTTTAGAGAGAGAAGAAGAGTCTGCAAGGTTTCGCTTGCTAGTGTAGTTATAAACACGGTCAGTTGGAAAAACACTAGACGTTGGATTTGCCACTTGTTTAATCGGACGGTTTAGATATGCTTAATTCTCAACCGAGGGATATAAACCAACGGTTAAGATTAATTATTAATTACTATACTATCTCTGGTCAAGACTAGGAAGTGAATAATGAGGGATGGTGTCATGTGCGGAGTATATTAAAGGTTCATAGAGTTAAATATGATTGGATAGTAATGTAGGACGTGGCTTATGCTCGCTGTGGAAATGATTATTACTGGATGGAAAAAACTACGTATCATAGGCATTCCTGTATATTAACTTCTCTATGGAAGCCAGTAGATTTTAATTTGCCTTGCTGCTTAAGTCAGTATTTGCTGCCTTTATTATGTCACGGGCTAGGGCCACCATGCAAGGAAGCATGCCAGAGAAAATGTCTTAGAAAATAAAAAAGTTAGCATGTAGAACCCGTTTACTAATTGAAATTTAAAATTATTATTCTTATTCTTACTATTATTATTATCGATAAAAATGCTAGAGTGGCCGTTGTAAATCCAACCAATTAATTAAAATATGGTCAACCGTGATAGAATTATTTTTGTGTGGGAGGTGGTCTTAGGAAGGTAAGAGGTATTAAATTGTAGAGTCTTAAATTTTTTTGAAGATTTAAAAATGAAAGATAATGATTCTATTGAAGAATTCTCTAATAAATTTATTGAAATTATTAATTAAATGAAAACTTGTGGTGAAAAACAAATAGTGATAAAAGAATTCTAGAGAAAGTATTGATTATTTATTGATTAGTTTGTCGGAAAAATTTAATCCTATTGTAATTGTTGTTGAAAAAAGTAAGAATTTGTCTAACTTAAGTATTGAAAAATTAATGAGTTCTTTAGAATCTTACAAGAAACGATGGTATGATGCTTTGAAAAATCTATTAACGAGTGTGTTAAAGTCTAAATTTACTTTTAGTCGTCAAAACCAAAAAAAGTTTTGGGTCATTTAAAAGAGGTAGGAAAACTAGCGAGAGGTAAAGGTAGAAGAAGAGGTGACAATTTTAGGAGGAGAGGTAGAGCCCAAATTTGCGGATAAAAGCTTTAACCGTAAACTAAGCGAGAATAGTTTTTTGCGAGAGGTGTTTTTAATGCGACGAGTCAAAACATGTTACTAAACATTGTCGATATAGAGGAAGAATTCAATGTTACAATTCCAAAGGATTCAATCGCATGTCGAAGATTATAGATTTAAAGGAAGGGTACAAACAATTTATTCATAAGAGATGAAAGACGAAGAGAGTTTGTTTTATGCTTGTTAAAATACATTAGAGCATAAAAATGACTAATGACTTATTGATAACGCATGTAATAATCATTATGACAATAAATGAAAGCCTTTTCGAGTCATTTAAACATTAATCTCAAGTTTAGAGAGTGAAGATTGAAAATGGGGATTTGTTTGAAGCTAATGGTTTGGGCATAATTGGAGCCCAAACAATAAAGGAAAAAGAGGTGATATACAAAGTTTTGCATGTTTCACTAGCATATCAACATTTATTAAGTGTTAGGTAGCTTATGGATCATAGATATACGCCGCATTTTGAAGGCAACTCCCGTTAGAGTAGGTATCCAAGATCAACTTGTTTGAATGATTTAATTTATTGTATAATTGCATTTTCAATATCAATAAAGTTTTTTTTATTAATTATTGTTATTTATAATTTGATAGAATTAGATAGAAATCCTTATGGCGGACATTGCATTAATTATTGATAAATAGACGTGAGACAAACATTAATGCATTTAAATGATATCGTTAAATGTATCAAGTCATAGCATTGTTAAGAATAAATATTGACTACATGCGGTAAGACTTGTGAGTGTTATGCTCTTACTACAAAATAGTAGTAAGAAATCTCACACCTATTGGCATAATGGTGTCAAAGCAAGCACTCGAGTGAATAGTGTTAAAGAATATTTCACTAGACGTAACTTGCCACGAGAACCTATTTGGTATTGTTTATGGGAATCTCATATGAGATGGGTACAAGTAGTCATTTGATTTTAAGTCATTGCAATTATCTTATTAAATGATTGGTGTACTTTGACATTCATTTTGATGGGTTTAGTAAAAACTCGCATATAAATGATTCGTTGAGTGCATTAGGAATCTAATAAAGATGGATGAATGACTAAGAGAGGACATGCCATTTCTTTTATACTAAATAAGTTATCACATTGTACTTTGATGAATGTCTACTCATGAATTTGTGGCCACAGTGAAAATATACCAATAGAACATGGTTGGTTTACTTGAGAGATAAGATATTAGGAGATCAAAGGAAACTTATGTGATCATAATCAAATAGACTATAAATCATTTTCAAGGTCTCACTATGATCAAATTGACACGAAGACCGAATTGTATAAAAACCATACTCCCAAAAGGTAATTGTAGATTAATAAATCATTTTAGAGAATTGGGTAGTCATGATGTCTTGCTAAAAGTCAATTCTTATTCATGTATCAAAAGATAAAAGAGGTGTCTTTGATCTTTTTGATACCTTCACACACATACGTTTAAATATTCACATGAAAAAAAGAAGCGAAGGTTTTAGAAAAAGTTTCATATCTTGAAAAAAGTTTTCTATTTTGGAAAAAGTTTTCAATTTTAGAAATAAAATCAATTCCCTAATTTGAAAATCAGTTTCTAAATTTGAAAGTCGATTACCTAAAATGAAAATCAGTTTTCTAATTTAGGTTTAAAGGTGACTTGGAAAAATGTTTGCTAACGTGGGCCTCCCTAAAAATTCTTAACCCAATTTATTTGGATGATCTAAATTAATTGATGAATAATTAGACCAAAAGAGTTTAGACCAATAGGTTTAATTAAAAAACCTACAAGGTATTTTGGTGGAGGGATAATCTTGAGCACTAAAGGATAAGACTCAAGATTTACAAGGATAAGATTGAACAAGCCTACATAAGCAACAACTCCTTTCCTAAAAAAGAGTTATTGCTGCCTATATATAGAGAGATAAAGAGAGATGGCAACACATCACATCACATCATAAAATTAGAAGAGTATGTGTCTCTCCCAACTAAGAAAAAGACCAAAGTTGCCACACATTTTCTCCATAAAAATTGACGCAACCCTCGAGTGATTTTTGAGTGAAAATTATACAAAAAAAAAAAAGTTAGAGCTAACACTCTATGATTTCTATATCTTCTTATGTTGAAGTTTAAGCCGCATAGATTATTAGTAGAGACCGAACGTTTGGATGGTTCTTTTCGTAAAATTTGAATTTTACACTATAAGAAGTAATTCCTAATCATTTTATTATTAATATAATTAGTTGATTTAATGGTTTACCTTGGGAACTTTAGAGGGAGGAGAACAAAAGTTTTGTTTATTTTCCACCTTCATAAAATACATGATCCTTCAATTAGTATCAAAACCCCTGTTGAATCTTTAATTGTATTGATCTTCATTTTGTTTAACCGTAATAATTTTTGATTTTTTATCATAAAATTAATGATTTTGATATTTTATAAACTAATTTAAATCTTATTTTGGACTAATGAGAGAACGTGCGTGAGGCCAACGTTGGCACAATACATGCTAGGTCGAGCATGTGTTGTGCACGTCAAGTCAACACCGTGCTCGGCATGCGAAGGCAAATGTGCCTCATACATGTCGGGTTAATACCGAGCCGAGCACGAGTGAGCATACCAAGCCACTAAGAGGTTAAACATGTTAGCTAGGCGTGCCTCGTGCATGTTAGGCTAGGGGCTAGGCCGATGCTTGGACACTAGTCAATTAAGGTGCACCGAGTATGGGATAATGGCCGGTTAAGATGCTAGGCTAGTATTGGGCATTGGCTAACAAGTGGCAAGCTAGCCCGTGAGCCTCCAAGGCCCAAAAATTTAAAAAATTAATATTTTTTTATAAAATAACCAAAATCACAAATTTATAACTATCATAAAAATGAATTATGTTTCATTTATTTATATCTCATGTGTCAATGTGATTAAAGTACGGATGAATGATATGGAGAGTCCACTTAGCTTTTGAGAATGTATGTTTGTAATATTTTTTAGTTAGATAGGACTTGTGTGTCCTATCTTCTCTTTTATTTCAATGGATTTCTCTTCTCACCTTACTCTTCTTAAATGTAACTCGAGATTT